ATCACCTTTTTTTTTTATCAACAAAAGAAACTGTTTTGTTTAAAAAGTCTTTTAGACATTTGGTTAATTATCCTCGAGTTGAACCTCAACAGCTTGCAGCTGAAACATAGCCATAGAATTTTTTTTTTTTTAATTGTTACATTTTAAATACATTCTAAATAAAGATCATTTGCATAATTTTGTGCTATTTCGTTAAAAAAAATGCATATGTGTCAAAGACGAGACGTCCTATTTTGGTGTCCGCATTGAATTAAATTGACGAATACACAGTAAGCATATTAAATGCAAGTGTCTATTTTAATGTTTCAAAAACTTTTGTAATAATAAAATGTCAAAATATGGCTTAAATGTCATTCAGCATAACAGACATATTTTTGTAAAAATGAAAGATACTTATTCTGACCTGCGCTTATTGAAATACATATAGTGATCATACTACATTTTATTGTATTTGAATTGATCAAAAACTTCTTGCTGACAAATGGGTAAAACCTAGTGGTTTGAAGGACAGCGACAAAGATTGGCTTAGAAAAAAATAAAATAAAGTGGCATCGATGCTTGAAAACCCCTTTTCGTCTTTGCCCCATAAATAAATAAATAGCCCATAACATGCACATGTGTAATAAAAGGTGTAGCAGTTTGTGTGCCTGACAGCGCAGTTTTCTGCTGCACTCGTCACTCATCTAACACAAGAAATGCACAAGAAATGTAAACATAATATAATAAATAATAAATGACTATAATAAATACACAGCAACAGCACACATAAACAGCAGTTATCAGGGTCCAAGTTCAGAATTTGTCAAAACTGAAAAGGCAAATGCTGCTGATTCTGTCTAAAAATATAAACAAACAGTTGACCAATAACACTGGAAATGTTTGTGTAGTTTTGATACTGTGTTGACAAGATACAGGCTAATTAGTCTTTATGGGCTATAAAAAAATCTTGCATAAATGGATTACAATTGATTTGGGGACACTGAAGTATTCAGAAGAAATTACATTTTTATTCTTCCCTGTCCAGTTCAAGAGTACAAAACGTTTTATAGTTATAGTCCTTTTTCTATTCTCCCTACTGTAATCCTGAAAGAAGAAAGAAACAACGGCCTTCATAAAATGCGACATCTCTTGTAATATCTTATTCTGATCCCCCAAAATCTCTCTTTTCATGTTCGATGATTAATATACATGAGTAGCCGTACTGATGCCACAGACATATTGTAGAAGACAAGAAACTCACAAAATGTAGTGTTGGTTGGCATTTGGCACCATCATGGCTGCTTGTGACAAAAACTCACAAGCGGATTAACATGAAAGCTATCATTTGTATCGCTTTTCTCCATTGTGCCACAACTAGTTTGGCATGTCTGCTGTAGTGTCACATACCTTGTCCTCCCCCTGTCCTTCAGTATTATATGCGATAAGATGCTCTTTAGCTTCAAACGGCATGGTCATGAAATCTCTGACCGCTCCTGCGCCGCCACAAAGACAGAAGAGCAGCAGAAGCGGCACCACTACAAACACAGTCAACATCAGTCACCAGTGTTCATTCAACACGGCCTCTATTAACATCTTCCACAACCGCACACACTTCTTTCATATGGAGCCATGCAACAATAGCAGTCAACAGCTAACAAAACAACTGTACTAACATGTTCTACTTATATGCAATAATGTATGTACTTTGATTTCAATATCCAGGGTCTTTACATGGAGGGCCAGATGTAATCAATATTTTGAGCTTATACTCACAGCAAATAGTTTCAGATAGCATAGTGTCTAAGACTACAGCAAAAATTTGATTTCTGTGATTTCAAATGATATTGTAAACAATGAAGGTAAACTGAGAATATATTTAGTTTCAACCTTTTTCAAATGTATCTCAGAGGTAAGAAAATACATTTGCAATCTTACAGTAGCCTACATTTAGTCTAAATGCAAATGTGGACGGAATAGCCAACTAGAGATCAAAACTAGATTTTATAATGATTAATTACTTTTTTTTTATTTTTATAAAAAATGTTATGTGTCAAATGTGTTATGTTCACACGTGTTATAGACAACAAACAGTTTTTCTTTAAATGTGAAATGTGAGTGTTTTTTAATGGGTTGAAAACAAATGGAGGGAAAAATACATTTTAAAGGCTTTTAAAAAATATATTTATATTTTTTCAACTATATTAAAATATGTTAAAGGGGTCATATGATGCGATTTCAATTGTTCCTTTCTCTTTGGAGTGTTATAAGCTGATTGTGCATAGATAAGATCCCTGAAGTTGCAAAGACTAAAGTCTCAAAACCAAAGAGATATTCTTTATAAAAGTTAAGAGTCAACCACGCCTACCTAAAACGCCTCGTTTTACCTAACGCCCTAGTGTTCGGGTACAAGTAATGCGAGTTACGTAATCAGATTACTTTTTTTTGAAGTAACTAGTAAAGTAACGCATTACTTTTTTAATTTACAAGAAAATATATGAGTTACTTTTTCAAAAAAGTAATGCCAGTTACTTTGTACATACATTTTTCCCATGTATTGACTGACAGCTCTCCTGTCCTCATGCTGAGAGAAATCGGGAGTGCAGAGGAGTTCTGTGCGCTGTGTGAACATGATTAATGTAGTTCTAGACTAAATGTGAATGTGCATTAATTCATCCCACTCACAAAAAACTGATTTAGTATTCACCAAAATGAATTAAAACAGTGAAATGCAAACTCAGAATATGACGCAAACCTGCAATAATTAAATATGTTAAATAACACAAATGTATCTAATCCCATTTTATTAACCGACGTCTTTGCTGCTGACCTTTGATGATCCAGTTCAACCGTACTAATAAGCACAAATGACTTTAGACAAACTAACAATTGTGCTACATTGTTTTTCTATTGCTGAAGAGTGTTTCTTCTCCTGCGAGTTCCTCACTCTAGCCGCCGTGTGTGACGCTGTGTTCATTGTGAAAGCGAAACTACTTTGTTTGGTCTTCCAAAAGAGGACACGACTAGAAATCAGTGGTTAAGTTGTATTTACAACACTGTTCCAGAACACTTCAACCCAAATATTCAGATGTGTGCAGCACATTTTATGGAGGACTGTTTCCTGATCCTGGTAGAGTAGACTACAATGCCGGCTGTTCTGACTCACAGCCTGTAAGTACGTTTTTTATATATAAAGGATTTGCCGCTGATGATTCAAACGAGAGTTTTGAGCAGTGTAGAGTAGCGCTTGTTGTTTGTTGTTTCTCTGATCACAAATGCAGACATGGTTTTATGTTTACACGGCGCGATGCAATGCAACAAAGACAGTATACGTCATTATAATCAGTCATTATGTCCCCACTGAATGCAACAAATGCCTCGTTTGTAATGGGTTTTAATGTTTTTGTCTCGTCGCTCCGGCCGGACAGGGCATCATCACAGTACGGTGAGGGGCGTAACATTTCCGTCACACGCTTGAGGCATTCGGCCAATCACAACGCACTGGATAGCTGGCCAATCAGAGCACATCTCGCTTTTCAGACCGATGAGCTTTGTAAAAATCGACGTGTTTCAGAAAGGCGGGGCATAGAGGAGAAACAATAATGTACAGTATGTGGAAAATAATGTGTTTTTTGATCCTAAAAACCGCATAAACACATTTCAAAATAATGTTCTTTTTAGCAGCATCATATGACCCCTTTAATGTAAATATATTTTGAAACATTTTAGCATATATATATATATATATTTGGCCATTTTTGTATATTTTTAAAATCTATTTAAAAATCTATTTGAAAAAAAAAATACCGTATTGTTAGAGCTGCAATAAAAATATCATACTCAATAATAAAAAAATTATCATAAACATAACAGACGATGACGAATAGTTGAGAACATCAGCCAGTAACGCTATTTTAAAGTAGTGAAAAATGCATTTCTAGGAAAACATACATATTTTACTTTTATAATGCAAGCATTTCTATTTGTGACGCTGGAGCACAAAAGCAGTGTTAAGTCGCTGGGGGATATTTGTAGCAATAGCCAACAATACATTGTATGGGTCACAATTATACATTTCTCTTTTATGCCAAAAAATCATTAGGATATTAAATAAAGATCATGTTCCATGAAGATATTTTGTAAATTTCCTACCATAAATATATCAAAAATGTATCATCATCAGTAATATGCATTGCTAAGAACTTCATTTGAACAACTTTAAAGATGATTTTCTCAATATTTAGATTTTTTTGCACCCTCAGATTCCAGATTTTCAAATAGTTGTATCTCAGACAAATGTTGTCCTCTCCTAACAAACCATACATCAATGGAAAGCAATATATATTATCTCAATTTCAAAAATTGTACCCTTATGACTGGTTTTGTGCTCCAGGGTCACATTTAGTCAAACAGCACATCCTTACAGCAAGAGAGAGATCCAGTGTTTTACTCACAGAGCAGCAGCAGCAGTCCCAGCAGCATCAGAAGGACACCAGATGCTCCAAACGTAGAGCTGGTTTTTCTGGGCAGGCAACCTTTAGAAGCGTCACACGTGCAGACGTTTACCTGAAGCTCCTGAGCAGCGCAGATCTTCCCCTGCTGGTCCCACACGTCCACAAACACATGGTACACGCCGGGCCACAGTGTTTTTTGAGATCTGAATATCGCTGTAGTGTCTGAAAATATAACGTTAAAGAAGATGACATGATGCATGACCGGTTCGGACCTTTCAATGTCGATGTGTCTCAAGTTCTCCAGTTGTCTGGAGCAGATGTTAGTAAAAGAAAAGACACATTAAAGTGCAGCATTAAGTCATGCAAAATGCATTAAAAGGGCATTCTTATGGATCCCGGACACTTCCACCAATATTTATGGATTTACAGTTACTTATTCACTAGTCTAACATGCTACTTGTGCTTTTGTTTTGTTATGTGGACTTTTAGTTTGTAGTTAGTCTATTAAGCTTTTTTAAATGTTGTAACATATCCACCTTATTTTTTCCCGTGCGACCTTTTGCAAATTTAATACATCTGGCTTCTGGTCTCATCCGCTTCCAGTTATTCTTAACTGTACAAAACAGCTTGTTTTGTTCCTTGATATTGCAAACTGGTGTGTCTTACCATATTATTTTAACATATTGTCTTAAACACACACCGGTTTGTAGCACAAACAGTTTTACCGTTTATTTACATTTATGCTGATGTCAATGCATTTCTCAGTTATTCTCTAATATCTCATGGCCATGACATAATATCACATCCCCATGAGGTCATATATCTTGGCTTCATCAATCTATGCCATGCCCACAAGTTAATATGATGTAGCCACAAGAAGTTACAATTAATTACCATTGAGAGGTTCGATGCTCCATGACTCCTTTGTGCTTATGGTGTCCACTTTGAAACCAAAGGGTGATCCATTGGGGAAATGATCTTTGTCCACAGCCGTGACATAAACCACGTGATCCTCATAGCACAGCGTTTGAGACTGACGGCTCAGCACAGGACAGTGGTCATTAAAGTCCTTTACTTGAATGGCAATGGTTCCTGTTGCAGTTTTAGACGGAGCATCTGTAACAGAAGTGAGATATTCCTCCCTCAACTTTAAATCCAATTGCAATTCATAAAACTATATATTTTGAAACTCTTTTGGTTTTTTAGAAGTGCTTATAATAATAAACTTTGCAAATTCTAATCATCAGTGCTGGGTAGATTACTCCGTTACTGATAACAATTTACATGATGAAAACTGTAGTTAGTAACATGATCTGGATTACACCTAACTACATTTAGATTACTTTTGAGCTAACTCATTTACACAGACTTTAATGTGATTATTGTGTACCAAGTTGATAAAAAAAAGAGAGAAATAAAATATATTAAAATTTTTTGTTATGAATATCATTTCCTAGACTGGGGTTCTTGGGGAAAAAAAAACCGTAGGGCGTTCACGAAAAGCTAATAATTAATGAAAGCGTAAAAATGTCAAAAGCGTAGGAATCCCTACAATACATAAACAAACATTATTAAACATGAAAACATGACAGTACATGCCCAAAGTCTTCCAGGTTTTAAATATTTTTGTCCAGACTTCCGATATTACTAATTAGTGAAGATATGATGAAGACAATGTATTTCACAGCTATGCATTGGCAGTGTTTAGTAACTCGCATAAATATTAGTCCCGTGTATATAAGAGATAGATTCATTCAGAAAGGAAAATTTAAAAGAAAAGAGAACTGGGGTGAAACAATAAATTATGAATAATTTACAGCCATTGTGTGAATAATATGTAATCCATAAAAAAGTAACTGTAATCTATGAGCATTTTAAAATGAGTTTCCATAATCTGTCATTTAAAATGTGTAAATAAAGTACAAAAGTGTATCTTTTGAAAAGGTACAGCCCCAGATTCACAATATTTATAACATTGGTTTGAAATGAACATGAAACCTAATTTCAGACCATTCCTGAAACTCAGTGTAGTCTTAATCACATACGTTCAAATGAGAAATAACAAGATGATAATCAACAATAACAACAAAAAAAAAGAAATGACAACTAATGAGAAAACACATAGAGAGCAAACAAAAGGAATGATTTAATGTGGAGAAATTAATGGTTAACTCGCTGATGCAGGAGACAAGAGTGTGGAAAATAATCCACAACTGAAGTACGTGTTACCAAAAAAGTTAAAACTTGTAAATGGGGAAAAAAATCCAAATATTTGATTGAGTTCCAACATATTAATTTTCATTTCCCCTGTTGTACTTTAGTTTCCCCTAATGTACTTTAGTTAACTAAAAAATAATAATAATAACAAAATTGTATTTAAAAAATCATTACTTGAAATGAATATTAACTGAAATAAAACTTTTTTAAATTTCAGCCAGTTTCCAAGGCAACATTTCAAATTTTTGTTTAGTTTGATGCACTAGATGTACAATAACTAAAACCGAAATAAAAACTATACAGACATTTAAAAACAACAAACATATTTAACACACAACAAAATTACTAAAACTTTAACTAAAGTTAACATGAAAGCAGAATTTATAAAAATAAATTATTTTTAATGTCTCAATGATACTAAAATAACACTTTTTACTCTCGCTTCTTCTCACACAGTGTAAATCGCGTGTGATGTTAGGAAAACATCTTTCTGCTATGAACACACTGCACATCTCAGTGCAGACTGTTTGTTTTACATCTGTCAGAATGTAATGCAGGTTTTGCAAAGACGCTGTTGAAGGATATTGCAGTCAGGCTTTTGAAAGATGGTGCAGCTAAAACTCTAGTCAGCCTGACAGCAGGTGTGCAAGAGAAAACAAAGCACTGTTTGAAAAGCCAAAAGAGAAGAAATGACAGACTATTCAGTCTACCTTATTGAGAATCAGGATGCCTTCGTTGGTCTTGTTGTCTGTGATTATGGAGAAATAACCGGCTTCGTTTCCTGACACGATTGTAAAGACAGCCAGCCAGTTTTCAGTATAGATCAGATCCTCGTCCGTCACTTCAATTCTCACCACTTGCACGTTTCGAGTGTTTTCCTCCACACTGCACTCATACTAAAACCAAACAAAGTGATAAACTTAAATTACAAAACATTTCATATCCATTAAATGTGTAATATCACATATAATGCACATGTTTTACAAATATGTGCATAGAAGTGTTCCCAACAACTCATGATAAACTAAAAAATGCATATTATTTTTTAAGTCCTTTGGTATTTTTGGTATAATAAAATCTTACAAAGTTTTTCTCCAAAGTAGGCATGTTGTCATTGACGTCAAGAATCTTGATGACAGCTGTCCCTGTTCCTGTATTTCCGTTCGCAGTTCCGTTCATATCAGTCCCTTTAATAATCAACGTGTATGTGTCTTGTTTCTGTGATGAGAAAAGCACAAACATCAGTCGCAGGTGCAAGTAAATGTGCAATGCAATTAGGATTGGTAACACTTTAGTTTAGAGACAAGTTCTCACTCAGTTGCTTATTAGCATGCATATTACTAGCATATTGGCTGTTTATTAGTACTTATAAAACACATATTAATGCTTTATTCTGCATGATCATATTTTAGATCTGTAACACTACCCAATACCTAAACTTGACAACTGCCTTACTATTAATATGTAGCAAATTAGGAGTTTATTGAGGCAAAAGTTGTAGCTAATAGTGAGAATTGGACCTTATAATAAAGTGTGACACATTAATCGCAATGTGCAAATCTGGCAGAATCAGTCAACAAAAACCTGTAAAACATCGTGCAACATCAATTATGTTTCTGTAAAAACTATATTTGCATTTGCAATGCATCAATCAATGCATCAATCAATGCATCAATCAATCAATCAATCAATCAATCAATGCATCAATCAATCAATCAATCAATCAATCAATCAATCAATCAATGCATCAATGCGTCAATGCGTCAATCAATCAATGCGTCAATCAATCAATAAATGCATCAATCAATCTATCAATCTATGATAGTGTGACACATTAATCGTAATGTGCAAATCTGGCAGAATCAGTCAACAAAAACCTGTAAAACATCGTGCAACATCAATTATGTTTCTGTAAAAACTATATTTGCATTTGCAATGCATCAATCAATGCATCAATCAATGCATCAATCAATCAATCAATCAATCAATCAATCAATCAATCAATCAATCAATCAATGCGTCAATCAATCAATAAATGCATCAATCAATCAATCAATGCGTCAATCAATCAATCAATCAATCAATCTGTGGTAAAATGATCCAGAAAAATAGAAGAAATCAATGTTTGGAATGTCAGTAAACGGGAATGTTTCAATCTTTAATCTTAAATTTCTTCATGAATAGACCAATTATCGGTTTGTAAACATTCAGGATGCGCGCGCATCATGGTTGCAGAAAACCTGGAAGAGATAGCCTTTACAGCTAGAGAATTTCACGGATACGGTACAAAATAGTTAGGTTTAAAAAGAGTATAAATTATATTGATTAGATGTCATTTTCAAAATGTTCTCCGCATATTACAAGAGCTCGTCACCCAGCGATAAGCACTGTTATTCAACGAAATTGATGTTAGAGCATGGGATAGTCTTACAGATCCGAAACAGGGATGACGGTTTTTGTGGGCGGAGCCTATCTGGAGGCCGAAAATGACGGTTTTCAAGCGGCAGTCTATGGAGCCATGAAATAAAAGGTATAAAAATGTATTCTCGCAATTCCGAGATTATAACTCACAATTCTAATAAGGAAAAACAACTCGTCATTCTCTCTTTCCCCCTCGGCTCTGTAGCGAATCAGCTCATGGGAAATATGAATAATTAACCATAACTAGTTATAATTAACTATTCATATTTTAGATCCACTGTAGATATTTAGCTGACCACTCAGGGTCAACCGTCTTGTCAATTCTAAGAACGTTAATTTCCTGGTTAAAGGAAATAACTTTCTTACTGTACAATTCTATAAGTTTGTAACATAAATCTGCATGATTATTGACT